TATGAGTAAAAAAGCCAATCAATACGTTGATTAGTTTACCTAACAGGCAATACATGATAGATTAAATATTAAGATTTTGAATATCCATCTACATGGATATAGGAATCTGTTGTATTATAATATGACTTGATTGATTGTCTTTTTGTATGGATTTTTCTTCTTGGCTTTGTATTTAAAAAAGAAAAAGATAGGTTGCTCCAATTTCATTTAATACTAATATATCCTATATAATTAACCAATAGCCAGTCAATACAGACCGTACCAGTCATATTTCTAGGATTAAGGTTGTTTTGATCATTTCGTACATTTTCTAAGTTATTCTTAAATCTCCTGTCCATATAATATTAATTATTAAATGAAATTCAAGGATTTATTCCCAGGTTATATTTGTCAAAGGGGTTGCATCAAGGGAAAATGTGAGAGTCTTGCACCTTGAAAAAGTTTTTTTATGAAACGAAGTATAGTTTTAACTTCCTTTTCGAGAGGGAAAAATCTCGGGTCTATAATTAAATGGAACGAGGGTAAGAGTTTTGTACTTAGTTTTATATATTAATATACTTTTATCTAATCAAATTAATACATATAATTTTAATATATTAATAATATTAATAACAATAAATTGTTATAGAATAAATATTTATAAAAAAAATTACATGTATTAATTTAATTGAAAATAAGCATATTAAGTATATAAGGTTTTCCGTGGAGCATGGACTTGATGTATTATGTCATTTATATTCCATCCAATAAAATTATATCAATTCAATTAAATAAAATCTTATATATCACTATTTTTAATGACTGTATTTGTATAATAAAATGCTTATTTATTTTTTATCTTTTCTCTCTTTATAGTCATTAATGGCAAATCAATTTATATTTCATGTCATATTTTTTACTGAATGAAGCACGGATAACGTGGTATATTAAGTTCATGTGAAAATTTCTTTAAGAGAAAGTTCTAAACATGAAATGGTATATGATCTAAAATACAGAGCTGGAAAAACAGGCCGAGCCCGTCAGATCAACCCGTTTAAGCCTGTATAATAGTAGAGCCAGGCTTGCTTGTTTGAGCCCGCATGTGTATATTTTTTTAATCAATTCTCATGACTCTGACTCTTCATGGATTTGAAAAAAAAAAAATTAAATCTTATTCCACATCACATGTCAACCCATATCTATTGGGGGAGGAGGCTAAAAAAAAAGAGAAAATAGTAATGAATGATCATTGATCAAAATTTATATCAATCAAAGATCACTTGTTGTCAAAATTCAAGTAGATACTTGTGGATTTGAGTTAGTCTTAATCAATAAGTATTCATTCGAGTTTTAATAACAACTCATTCTAAATTGACAATAGTTCATTCTAGCTTGTTTTTCATTCAAGTTTTGACAACAATTAGTCTTTACTTGATATAAATTTTATACAGAAATCCTTGGTTGCTAATTTTTTTTTAAAAATGCAACCTTAAATCTCTAATTCATCTAGATTCACGATAATAATTCCTTCAGTTCAACATTTACTCTTCTTTTATATCCATATGCTTCTCTTCTTTTTGCCACTACAATTTGTCCTTACTCTTCAACAAATCATCGCATTACCGCCCCGTCCTCATCATCACAACTCACAAGTCATTCTTCTTGCTTCTGCTTTTGTTCACTCTTTAGTTATCCCTATTGCTGACTCTAACAGTGCTCCCTCCCAAGAACCAAGTCTCAACAGTACTTGACTAGTTGACACTCGTTGTCATCGATCCTTCAAGTCCTCCTGTCACTTATCATACTCATGCATTCATAACTCATGAGCTAAGCTCTATCTGATGCACACATTGCACTCGTGCTCTTTGTTTTCCTTGGTTTTTTAGTCTCATATCTTAGTCCCCCTCAATCTCATCTAATCTCAATAGAGTATTTGTTAGCTTAGCCAATTCATTGTTTATTATCTTGCTATTTTTAGTTCATTTAGATGTTATTTAGTTAGTTTTTTCATAGCTTTTTTGATTAGATATTACATTGGAATGAAGTAATTTTTTGTTTGATTAAAAATTTAAAAAACTAAAAATAGTTAGAAAGGCTTAGAGCCCACAGGGTTGACCTTGAGTTCGCTATGTCAAGGGTTGGGCTTCATATAGTAGGATCTTAAAGGGAACTTGAGCTTAAATAGGCTGGCCTTTTAGACTTGAGCTCGTAAGAGCTGGGCTAACCCGTTTTCCTCCTAGCTCTACTAAAATATAAGCAGTTTTTAATAAAAATATTATGAAAACAATTCAAAAAAAGAGTTCATCTCAAACGACTAACATGTTAGGTGGAAAAGCTCCTCACACTTGTAAAATCTCACTCAATGTGTGAGGCTTATTATAGAAAATTTGGATATCAATAAAATTTTTATTCTTATGAAAATATATTATTTTTCTTTTTTTACCTTTAGTTTTATTTTATGATTAAGGAGAAGAAGATTATAAATTCACATGCACAATAATATAGATTAATAAATACAAGAGATAAAATGAATTTTTTTTATAAATACCTAGTTGGTTATATTTTGAATCAAGATTAGTTTAAAAATATTTATATTTTAAATGAGGGTAAGTAATCAAAAAAATGCTATGTTATGCCCGATCAAAGTTCGGGCTTCAATGAAATAAGTTCTTGGCGATGTTTTTTTTTAAAATTTTAAATTTTAATTTTTGGTGTACTCTTGTGCTATGTTTTTGTATTATCGAAACAGGGGCCTTGGATAAAAATATATTTTTTATATATTAATTTCTCAGCGACCATTCCGTTGTGGTGTTAGAAACCTTCTGAGAGACTGCGCAGTATTGAATTCAAATGTATGATGTTGAAGGTGAAAAACATTATTTTAAAACCTAGACTAAACTGAATGGTTGGATTGGTTAGATCAGCAACCAGAATTGTTAATAGTTCGATTTGAATTAAAAAATTATTTTTATAATTGAACTGATTAATTGAAATTGAGCTGTTATTAAACTGAAAACTAGAATTAAATTGAGAATCGGAGCAGTTTTTATAAAATCAGACAATTTTAAACATGATATTAAAAGTTAAAAATTTAAAAAATAAAAAAATAAAAATTAATCTCCAGTAAAAGATAACTTTATTTTTGAATAATTCACATATATAAAATATAATTTATAATCATTTTTTTATAAAGATGTTGATAGTTATATATGCAAATGTAAATACTTTGAATTTTATTCAAATTTGATTTAATCAAAATTCACCTGTATTTGATAAGTTATAAAATTATAATTTATAATATTGTTAATTTATGGTAATGTTATGTCATTTTATTAACAACTAGCTTATTATACATTTGTTTCTTATATTTATTTCAGATATACATGTAATATTATTTTTATTTAATTATTATATCATTGATCCAACCGCTAATTGGTTAGATAATAAAAATGAGAATTGTTAATTTTTTCAGTTTAATGTCCAGTCTGACTTTAAAACATTGGTGAAAAAGATGACCTCGAGAGTTGAGAGAGAAGAAAGGGTTAATATATAAATTTAAATCCTAAATTATAGATTTAGAAGCGATTTGAATCCTGAACTTTTAAAAAATATATTTTGAACCTTAAATAATTAAAGTTGGAGCAATTTCACCCTTATAGTTAACTTTTAACAAATGTCTGTTAAATTAGGACATGAAGTATACTTTTTTTTAAAATAAATTAACAAACATTTATTGAAAGTTCATGTTAAAGGCAAAATTACTTTGACTTTAAAATATATATTTTTAAAGTTTTTTAAAATTTTATGTTAACACGAAGACAAAAATGCTGATAAATGAAAGGATGAGGATGGTAAATTCAGTGGCCTACGTTGTTGGATTTTTTTTTGGTAAATTAATGGAAACTGGAATAAAAAGTTGCATCAGAAATATTTTTTAAGGTAAAAATAGGTCAACAAAAAAAAAAAACTTTGGCCACATTACCCCTAATAGAAAAATGAATTGCATATATTATGTTAAATTATTTAAAAATGTTTTCATGTTTTTCATTTTTAAAATAAAAAATTTAAATTTAAATTTATTTTATTTATTTTATTTTTAAAAACACATTACATTTCGTTATTTGAAAATTTAGTTGACTTAACAAAATTTTTTCATAAACTATCACTGTTAATTTTGGCAACTATTATTACTTGTCTATTTTTAATTTTAAAATTATTTTTAAATTAACATAATCAAATATATTTGAAAAAATATAACGTTAGATTCCTATACTTTGCTTGTATTTTATTATTAGACCCTGTATTTTTTTAGTATTTTTAATCCATATATCTTTGTTTTTTATTATTTTAAATCCGTTCAAGATCTCTATATTTTGTTTATAAAAAAACCTAAAATAATAAAAAATAAAAATGTAAAGACATAAAATACCAAACAAAAGTATATAATTAATAGCAAAATACAAGTAAAGTATATGTACTCAAAATTATTTTTCCAATATATTTTTATTTTTTTATTTTGAAAATAATTTTTAAAATTGCATTATAAAATAATCTTTTTAAACAAAAAATAGTAATAGAAACCAAATAGTACTTTGTTTAGATATTGTTTGATTTAAATGATGAGACAAAGTCCTTGTAGATAATTGGGTAACATACCAACACGGTCAGTGAAATGATCCATTAATAATTTGTTAATGAGGAGATATTTGTACTCCTCTTGAACATTGCTCAGAAAAAAATGTTATACTTATTAATTAATATAAGATATTCAACACTTCTCAAAAGGAAAAAAACTTCAGGGTGTTCTAACACTTCTCAAAGAAAGAGTTTAAGATAAATTAGTACCCAAAAACTCATCACATCAGTGAAAAATGTTAAAATTAGCGAATTATTAATGGAAAAAACTTTTTACTCTTTTAAAAAATAATTTAAAAAATGGTTATTCTTATCAGAACAAGTGTCTCGCGAAAAAGCAAAGGAAAAAATGTTTACTCGGCGGCTACCCCCAAAAAAAAAAAAAACAAAAACAAAAATAAATGCCGAACTCTCGCCGTGAAGGAGCCACGAGAGAAGCCTTAATGGGCTTCCATCAGCTGCCCTGTCCGACGGCAAGGGAACATCCCTTTATGAAAATGTTGTTCAGCAAGGTGGCGATTCATCCGATGAACGGCGTTGGCGAAATCTTCAAAGTATTTTCTCTCCGGCAATCAAATTCAGCACGAAGCACTCTGAGATTGCCATCGCTGCCTAACCTAACCATGAGGGAACCAAGAGAGGCACCAAGAATGCTAACATTGATGGGCCACTGATGCTTATCGTCCTCGTGAATAGAGATTTTAAACCCAAGAGCACCGCCAATAGGTATTGTCTCTTCCCTTGGCTTGTGGAATGTCATAGTCTGTCTCTGATTGAGTAATGCATACATACTTCTTTATGTTAGTGATTTTACACAGTTTAGCAGCTATTGAGTCTATGGCTAGAACTCTGACTCATGTTTAAATGCATATTAAAATATTCTAAAAAATGGTAATGTTTATTAATAGAGACTACTACCAATCTGCCGTTAAGTATGGCAACTAAAGAATTGGCTGATAAACGTAACAGCATGTGCAGCCGGCCACCATCTTTTAAATAATAAGGCTTCTTGAAGTACATTATAACAATCAATGTGGACCGAAAACATGAATATAATTTCTTCATATTCAAAATATTTCACCGATGAGCTTTCAAAGTCGCATGTTACTTCCTTAATCTAGCTGTATTCATGGCTGATCTCAGTGTAAAGTGCAATCGCTCCTTTACATCTTGTTATGTTCGTGACCTGGATTTCTAAAGTCCTCTGGTTCAGTCACCTCAATGAAATAAGGATGCTGATAATCTATCACAGAGCATACCAATTAGCCTACGGTTCTGTTGCTCGCTTGCTGGCTATTGATAATGCATACCAAAGACTTCTAAAACAGCTGAGCCATTTTACCCCCCCCCCCCCATAATATTGTACAAGAACTTTTGAATCATCTCATTTCTTCAAGCAATTTATGTTAGTATGACGTTTTATTAAACATCCTAGTCTTTAAAACAACGTGTAAATGATTGAATTTTTATACATACCTTGGCAGAGGTATGATGTTCTTGAATTTCCTTATCCCGCATGATTGCAATATAGTTTACTAGGGAATTTTTTTATATTTATTTATCAGAGAAGAAGATTTTTGTTTTTATGTGTTTTCACTCTCTCTGATGTTTTTCTGTACCCTATCCATATTCTCTTTGAAAAATTTCCTATGAATATTTAATGTTGATTAATAAGCTAAGCTCAATTTTTAACTCTCAATAATCTAAAATTTTTAAAATAAAAGAAAACTAACAACTTATTTGCATTTTAAATTCAAAAATTCAAAACAAACATCATTAGTAATTAATTAATTAAAAATAATCAAAGTGTGTTAACTATGCATCAGCCTGTGATAGTTAATAATCTAAAATTTTTAAAATAAAAGAAAACTAACAACTTATTTGCATTTTAAATTCAAAAATTCAAAACAAACATCATTAGTAATTAATTAATTAAAAATTAATCAAAAGTGTGTTAACTATGCATCAGCCTGTGATAGTTGTCCAAATCAGTTCAAGATGAAATAATCAAAGGGCAAAAGTATACTTTTAATCTTTTTTAACTTTGTATGAAGTTCGGTTTGGTTCCTTACTTTTATAAAATATCTTTTCAATCTATTAATGCTACAATGTTAGTCTCAAATGATTTTGTTTTTTTGTTCCAATCTTTGTTATTTTTAAAAATGGCTGAAGTATATTTTTTAGTTCTTTCACTGTTATACAAGGTTTTAATTTGGTGTTTAATTTGTAAAGAATGTCCTTTAACCCTAATATCGTTAGTTTCAAATAATTATTTTTGTCTCAATCATTGTTATTTTGAAAAAAAATTAAACTTAATATGTCAACAATTGAGAAATGTTTTGTCAACGCTTGAAATTCAATGTAAAAATTTGTACAGATGAAACTAAAGTGTTAGGGTTAAAGGACTAAAGACACTTTATAAAATTAAGGGAATAATGAAACATTGTGTTAAGTTAAGGACTAAATATATACATTAGTTTTAAAAATTAAACTTAATATGTCAATATTTGAAAATGTTTTGTTAATATATTAAAGTTCAATGTTAGCATTTTTTGGTAATGAAACTAATAGTGTTAAAGTTGAAGGATTAAAAATGCATTTTTATAAATTAAATGATCAAATGAAATCTCATGTGAAGTGAAAGGAACAAAGGTGCACTTTTGCCATAATAAAAGTCTTCTCTTATCTGTCAATATTATCTTGTTTTTCACTGAGCAATATCATGTTCCTGTTGAGTTGCTGAAACTGTGTTGTCGGCATTGAAGCCACTATTGGATGACCGATGGCCAATGAAGACAACGGAAACTTTGGCATAGGTAGATGACAACTAGACTTGGTGGGTTAATGTTGAAAGGGTGGCCAAGACTCATCTTGAAAACCAAGAGATTTTGGGTTCAAGACCTATCTTGGCCACCTTTTCTAATAATTCATCTAAGCCATGTTGTCATTCACCTATGTCTGGTTGTCCGCCACTGCTGCAGTGCTTAATTGGTTGCCAGTGATGGCTCTGGCGATCATTGTGGAGGGAGGAAGAATTTTGTTTCTGTTTTTCAAAGAAATTGAGGATATTCTGGTAAAATCACTTAAATTTTTAATTTCACTTGAGTCTCTTGGGACTGCAATGTCGTTAGCTCATTTTAATGGACTGTAATCTCATTGTATGATTTGGGTGGGCCTTAAATGTCATTCTATCTTTAGTTTATATTTGTTTGTGATAGCATGGGCATTCTTTCTCTAAAATTCTTTTTTATTTTTTATTAAAACAATAAACTTCGATTAGTATCACTTACAAATATCTTACTTTTGGCTTCTCTGAAGAAAAGAAAGGTTAAAGCACGTAGTTTAACTAAAAAAGCACTTTCTTATTCTTAAGAGAAAAAAAACACACTTTCCTGGGAGCACTTCTTCATTTCCAAGAGCATGCTCAAACATGCTGTGCTAATTAACCGTTTTTTTTTTCCCGTATCTAGAACAACTTTTGAAACGGTTGTATATTTATATGTCTTTATTCCATAATATTGATTTGTCTTATGATAGGCCAATTGATATGACATCCATTTTCAAAAACTTCCATTTTATAAACAAGTTATAACTTGTAAGTAATCATAGTTCCTTCTTTATTCATTGTCAGATGCATGTTTTGGGTTTTGTTGTATAATATTCCTAATCTTCCTTAGACAACTTCTATGCCAAAAAAATAAAAAAAAATGCTGCCTCTGGAACACGTCAGTATGCAACTTTCCTTTTTTCTTGGCACATATTAATCTTGACAAGCAAACCTTGACATTGCAGGACTTGTATATTCAGGTGAATTGATCAGAACAGTTTCATGGCATCATAAAATGTAAAAACGATCAACACTAGGTAAACCCACAACTTGATTGGAAGAATTATTGGAGTCAAGAAACATTGTAACTAGTGAATAATCATCCATGAAAGGTAACTAAATCCTAGAGAAGTTAACAATCATTTCCAATTATATGTGCAATACTATCTCCCAGTTATGCCAGTAATGCTGACAAAGTTAGCAGAGTGTGAACCCTGTGCTTCTGAAGCGGAGTCAAAATTGAACCCTGTCTCGTTTAATATATATGCAGGTTGCCTTGGAATAGGAAGATTGGCAGTCTCACTACTAAGCATAGACACTACATTGGCCATAGTTGGCCGCTCTTTCACTAATTCTTGCACCAAAGTAGTCCTATGTGTATACATCGCAAATATCCTCATAATCAGAACCTGATAATATATTTCTGAATCTATGAAGGACACAAAGTTATCCTCATTCCATAGCTTCCATGCCTGAAAATATACACATGTGAAAGTATGAAACAACTTTCCATGATGTAATATTCACCTTCTCTCTGTTATTTTGTTGATACTGAGCCTCATCTTTGGTAAAAAAACATTAGAAGGATGTCGGAAACTCTCCCAAATAGTTTCTCCTGTTTATCATCAGAGAGGACTAGATTCCCAGTGTTTTAAAAGTTTTGCAGTCGAATTAGTTGCAATGTTTGAGCTATTTGTGGACCAAATACTCATATTCTGTTGGTCCAAAATCACAGTTTCCCATCCTTAGAGATTGTGACAACCACCAAAAGCATCAAATAGCGGCTGGTTTTTGTTAGCAACCCAGATAATGTTAGATTCAGAAAGATACCAGATTCCTACATAGCGGTTTTTGGGATTTTGAGGGCTGAAGAATCCAAGCTTGAAGTCTGCTGCTATTGGAGCTCAGTTTCATGGTCTCTGATGAATGACCTGAGTTGATAGTGTCCATTGCAGAGCTCAAACCCAAACGGAAATTGGAAAGCACGAGCAAAAGATTTATCAGGTAGAGCCTTTTGATTATTCTAAATCCCATAGCTCTCGTGAAAAAAAGAAAAGATACCGTTTTGGTTACCCATATAAAAATCGAATTTTCTGATATGTGCCTGTGTTTTAGACTCAATCCTTATGCTGTTCATTTTTTAGCATGATATACCTGGGATTAAGTCGTCAAAGTTGAATTACACATCTCATATTATAATATGGTTAGACCAAGTTACTAAATTAAGCTTTGAATTACACATTTCATATTCAGCTTTGCTCATTTACTGGTTAATTATTTTAGGGTTAAAGATTATTTATCCCCCCTCCTCCCAATTTTTTTTTTTTTTAAAAGCGTTGAGTACCCTGTATTGAAGGTGGAGCAATATTCTCATAAATATTTTTCAAGAGCAAAATGACATTTTGTTAGAGACATGCCATTTTTTGTTATTTGTTAATGTGGAATAGTTGTGAGACTGTACATAGTGATAGGCATTCCAACATTTGGGCCAAAAAAGTTGGAAGTGGCACTTGTGGTGGAACTAAGCCTGATTTTAGTAGTGAAACAACAGCAAAATAGGTTGAAATAGCTTGCTGTCACTATATATGGGCTTTACAATTATTTCACATTAGTAAATATCAGAGAAGATGATGGGTCACAGGTGAAAGGATTATGCTCCTGAAAAAATTGTTAGGAGAATATTGCCCCACTTAAAATTTCAATATAAGATGCTTAGCACTCCTAAAATAGTTTAGGAGGGAAAATGGTGAACCCATTATATTATGGTGAGGTGAGTTCATCGTTACATGTTTTAATATTATTTTCTGATTTCTTGATTCTTGACCAGATTTGAAAGCGAAACGCGTGTTTGTCTTCTAGGAATGATCATGATCAATTCTCAAATTCTGTATCCAATTTATATTACGTCGAAAATATAATGTTGTCTTAATAATGAAATTGGAATACAAGCTACCTCACATCTACAAATTAGAACCACATCCACCTCTAGAATACAAGCTACATATTTGCCGCCCCACCACAACCCCCCCCCCCCCAAAAAAAAAAAAAAACAGAATACAAGCTACATAGTCGCTGAAAAAAAATATTAGAAGTCAACAGCTGAATTATTTGCATTTGATATTATAAATAATGGACACTAACTATTTTACTGATGAGTTTTGGCTGCAAAATATTTGTCGCTTCTATGCGGGTAAAATTTGCCTTGGTGAGAAAGTTCACGTTCTTCCGAATAAATATATATACCTCGGTTTGAATATGCTTCTCGAAATGACTGGCAAAGAACAGAAACGTATTGCCCGAAATGTGGCAAAAATAAAAGCTATTACTCGAAAAATTCAATTTTTGACGTATTGTCACCCGAAGTATGCTTTTTTCTTTTTTTCCCTTTTCATTTCAGAGTTTTTTTTTCGGCCCGGAGGGGGGGGGGATCCAAGTGAAACGTATTAATTTGGTCTGAAAATTCATTTGAAAGATATTTTTTTATGAATATTTTGCTTGTGAATGTTTGAGATTGCAAACTTATTTTTTGTACATTATTTTCCTTCAATTTTTAAAAACGATGTAATTTAGTCATTATTTTTAACAAAAGTTAATTTTGACATTAATTAATCAAAAAATGACAGAAAAATAATATCAAAAATTATGAAGAAGGGCTAATGAAATTTTCTTCATCATTTTCTATATTTTTTGGGTTCTTATGTATAATTTTTAATCCGTTATTATAATATTTTTGGGTCTTTTATGTAATTTTTAAAGTTTTTTCTATTATTTTTTTAATCATTAACATTTAAAGTTATTTTTTATTATTGGTAAAATTATATTGTATTGTTTTTAAAAGTTAAGAGGAAATATTACATGATAAATAAATTTAGGATATCAAATCCTAGACCTATAATTTAACATCTGATTTGCTTTTTTACCCTTAAAGTAATATTATCTAAATGAATAAATTAATTAAAATGCAGAAAATTTAAATTACAATAATAAAAGACATTTTAATAAAAATAATAAAAATCAATAAGATAAAACAAATAAATAAAATTATATAAAATGGAAATATTGCATCCCCACCTGCCAATTTCCATGGCTCCAATGAATGGAATGGAGTAAAATATTAATTTTGTCTTTCTTTCAATATCCCATGGCTCCAATGGCTATGTCCAACTAGTGCTCCAGATATCAATCAATTTCATCTCACTTTCAAATCACACTTTCAAGTTTCAATTCATTTAATTATAGGAAGAATCTCAATGAGGGCCCTCAGAATGAAATTAATAGGATGCAGGCCTAAAACATTCTGAAACCCTTCTATACGTCCAAATATCTCAATAATAATTAATTTTTTTTAGTCCAATTACAAAAATACCTTTGATTTTTTTATTAAAAAACAAAACATTACTATTGCCGGAGCTCCGAAGTTGCCGCCATCGCGTTGTTGAGCTAGAGGCTAGTTCTTCATCACCGATCATCAGCAATAGTAGGTCAACTCAACAAAAGGGCTAATGGGTGATTTGATCTGACCCTTGGGTGTGAAAAAAAAAAAAAAACAGAGAGGGAGAGTTGTCACTGAACCACTAAACACTTTTAGTAATGTGCAGCAAAATATAAATATATTATAACTAGTTTTCAAGCATTTATATATTTTGTTGTTTATTATAATAATATTTGTTTATATTTAAACAATTACTTATATCTATTAAAAATTGTCAATTTTTTAAACCTAACATTTTCAATTTTTTTAACAACTTGATGTTTCAAAATTGACATTTTATCAATATTATACTAAAAAAATTATATATATTATAAATTTATTTTTCAAGTATTTTTATCGACTTTGTTATTCATAGACGCATTATTGTTCATATTTCAACAATCGCTTGTACATATATGAATATTATATATTCGTACATAAAAAAAAAATCAATTTTTAAACCTAGCTTTTTTCAATTTTTTAACAACTTGTTGGTTCAAAATTGACATTTTTATCAATACTATACTAAATAAATTCATCAATTTTAATTATTTATAGATGCATTGCTGTTCATGTCCAAACAATTACTTATACATTTATGAACATGACTTAGTCATACTTGAAAAATAAATTCATAACATATATATTTTATATTTAGTATAATATTGATAAAATATTAATATTGAAACAACAAGTTGTTAGAAATTTTGAAAAAGGTTAGTTTTAAAAAATTGATCATTCTTTTTATGTGTGAATAAGTCATATTTTAATATATACAAGTAATTGTTTGTATATGAATAACATGTCTATGATAAATAACAAATAGTATAAATGCTTGAAAACAAGTTATAATATATATTACATTTTACTATATATAATTAAAAGTGTTTAGTGGTTTAGTGGCAACTTTTCCTTTCGACACTCAAGAGGACAAGGGATTAAATCTTCCCTTGGCTCCTTTCTTGAGTCGACCCATTGTTGACCACTTGTTGGTGCCAAAGGTTCGACACTTGATGTCAGAGGTCCGAGCTGTGGCAACGATAACAGTGGGGTTTTTTTTTTGTACTAAAATATATAATCTCCTTGAATATTAAGTCAGTTGCATATAACCTTCTTGACATTTAGAACTTAACCATAGACTTCCTTCACTTTTTATTTTTGAACATAAAACTATCTTTTGTTAATAACTCCGTTAAATCATTATAACACAAAAATGATTCATTAGACTTCACTTAATATGTGGCATCTGACATGGCTTCAATGATTTAGAGAGTAAAATGACATTTCACCAAACAAGAAATGCACAATTCTATCCGTACTCTTTTCTTTGGCGCAAGTAGACTTGGAGGCACAATTTCTCCATCGTTGATGTTTAGGCTAAATTGTAGTCTTGAAGATCAAATTAAGCCAAGCCATCTCATCATCTCCCTCCACCACCTATCTCAATGTCTGTAATGATGGCAACCGTAGTCATGAAGCTTAGATTTGTTAACAGACAATGGACGCCGCCTCTTTTATTTTTCACAGTGATTTTCTTTTTCACAGGAATTTGGTCAAGATCATTTCAATTGGATAATATATATCCATTGAAAATTGCTTAGGCTATGTTTGGTAGCCCAAAATTACCCAAAATGAAAATTAGAATTGAAATTGGAATTGAAATGATGAAGTTGTGTTGTTTGGTATATATCAATTCAAATTCCTAAGAATCTAAATTCAACCAAAATGCCTTGAATCCAATTCCATCACTCTCATGATGGAATTTGCTTAATTCTAGGGAATTCTCAACATTGCCCTAAACCTCTCTCCACCGCAGGTTTCCACTTTGCCGTCATTTGCTACCCACTCGTCACTGTCAGTTGCCTAATCTCGACAACTAGAAGCTTGGCTCTATCTTGGACCTCTTTCATGGTGGTTGGTCTGGTGGTATCGCTAGGAGTGCCTTTCAAGCATGTCTTGATATCGTCTCCTTGCTCTAACTATCCGCTGAA